CAAGGTACCGCTCGGAAGTTAAGGAATTATTATAGAAAATAGGGCCTATAATCTTGCTACCAAAAATCCCACACCAAATATTAAACCCAAAGCGAACTTGATGTCTGGATAGTCTATTAACACGTGGATTTTGTTGCGACCAATAGTGTGTATTGCGCCTGTTATAAATACCGTTATTGGTCACCATACTTTCATCAGACCAAATCACTTTATATGGAAAATTAAAACTCTCATCACACATCCTGGTATACCACTCACAAAAATGTCTACGTCGTTCGTCGTCACCCGGTTTTAATCCTTGACATATTCTGAATTTGTAAGGCTTAAATTCATTTTTCCTTAAAATAAACTGAGCTGTAGATTTAGCTACCCCATTCTGGTCTTCAATTTCTCTGGTAGAAGTTTGTGGATTTTCGATAACAGATTGTAGAACAATGTATTGGTTTTCTTCATTGGAAGGTTTTTGTCGGGATAATGCAGGCTTCTTAAATGATCCATATTCTTTCAGATTAAATAACAAACGCCGAAAAATACTCTTGTCAGGTTGTCTCCGCTCTGGGTATTTGTTAGAATACATACGCTCGGCTTCCACACAATTTCTTTGGCATCAGATGTAGCAAGACAGCATATCACATTTTTCTTCGTTTGTAAAATTACCTCCCTCCATTGTAGAACAAAATAAATTTGAAAAAGACAACAACAATAAAAATACGAAAACAATAACTAAAGGAATAAACTTATGATCGACTGATAACAAAGACAAATAACATTAATGTGTCATTGAAATTGACTGGATGTCATTTTGTCATGGCCTACTCCATTTAAATGCTGAAATGTATTAAAAATCCATTTTTCTGGATAAAAACATAAGTAACCATATTGTATCGTACATCGTTGAATTCGCAATGAAAAGCACAACCTAATACTGTGTGTACTTTTTTTCCGTCCCATAAGAAAAATCAAAGTTGATGGTGGTTCCATGGAATCGAAACGCTGTAATGAAAATTTGTTAACGTCAATTTGGAGAGATTAAGTGCCAATGGAAAAGTGTTTTCCGTTTTTTCATATCTTTTCAAATAGCTTTAAAAAATAATAAAAACGAAATCGCAATATTTCGGTTTTTCTCGGATATTTCCGGAACGGCTTGGAATTTTCAAATTTGTAAAACGGGATCTTGTTCGGTATCAAAATGCGCAACTTTTGTCTAATTTAACCGACACTGTATCTCTTATAGTTTCCGAGATCCCCATGCTGTGCATCCTTATCTTGGACACACTGTATATAGGACATTGCCATCTCGTATAAACAAATCTACATTCCATCATCTTGTTGTTGGAAGATGTAAAATGAAGACGGGGCGGGAAGGTAAACTTCTTCTTTATGTGACTTGATAGGGTTTTTTAAACTGCGCCTCGTTGAAGACAAAAATTATTGCTTTTACCCACTGGTTAAGCGAAATTTAAAATATTTGGGAGCCATATAAAAATGTGCGAAAATACACTTTTCCTATAACGTACATAAAGATCGAAGGAAGGAAGTGCAGTCATGAAAGGAGATGTATTGGATCAAACGTACGTCTATATATTTTCGTTTAAACCCGCATATACACTTTCGCATAGTCAGGAATGACAAATAAATGAAATTCCAACCTATTTTTCGCTGAAAATTTAAGTGGATTTGAAATGCAAATGCGAATTGCACAATTGCTATTCCGCTTATTATTTTCCTTTTTGCAAATTATCTACGACTCTGTCTTTTTCATGGCAAGCTTCGTGTTTCAATGAAATTTTCTGCAAGGCAGTGTCGCCTGCAGTGGCATATTGCGCTTTTTTGTTCTACAAAATTGTAAATGCAAGAACATAAAGTTTACTATTTTTTATTTACATTTAGTAACAGGATTTTTCCTGGTACTCACTCTCCTTTGTTGACGTTTCCGCAAACATACTGCTGGCCTATTCAGATGGCTTTTGAGTATGAGCTTTCAGACACTCCAATAACTTCGATGAAGGATAAGGTTAACAGAAAATAATTGAATGAAACCAGAAACGTAGTCATTTGGAATCTCACGGCCTGGACAATAGTGAAGAAAATATTATAAGGAAAATATATTTCTCTTTATCAAAACCAGATTGTTCCTACTTTGAAGAAACTTAAAAGGTAACTATAAGAATATCCAATACATTTGCTACTCGTGCCAGCCTTCATAGAGTTATTTGTAAATTGGGATATAAATACAACACAACAAACAAAAACAAGAAGTACGGTCAATAAGTTAAACCGGTGGAGGGTAGTGGTAAGAAAATTGAAACAAACTACGTTAAGACATTTTGTTATATTATTATTATTTATTGATTTTAAATTACATTTACATTTATTATATTGTATATAACTGTGTTTTTAAATTCGGCACATATTATTTTATCTTACGATTTGGTTCTTAAAACTTTAACTAGTTGCTTTTTGTAGTCTTCAAAATAAAGGTGAAGCTGACTAAGGAACTCTCGCTAACTCCTTTTTTTTGCTGCGAATCGTTGATACTTTCTAGCTAAAGTGCTGTAATAACTAGCATTACCCTGAACTGTCATAATCATTTATAGTGTGATGGACTATAATGTAATCCCACATATTCCGTACTTCTAATTTAATAATCTTTAGGAAATTACAACGTATAGATTCCAAAAAAGATGTATAATTTACCTAGATGAAACTTCGATACGCACGATGCAGTATCCAAGCACCTTCAAATAAGGGAAAACGCGTCACCATAATTCAAGCTGGATCTCGGAAGAGGGATTTATTCCCCACTGCTTGCTGTTCAATATTAAAGACTAGCTTGGACTGCCTTGAATATATATGCGCAGAACATTTTGAAAAATTGTCTATTTTATTGTCCTCAGCAGCGTATTTCGATAATTGCAATCAAAATCCTACTTTGAAACAAAGTAGAACAGCCTACACAAGTTTCTTTTTGAATTACATTTTCGTTAATTACATTCCATCCAACTTGCATACAACTGCTAATCTGCTAATCGTTGATACTTTTACCATAAACTGTCATAACCACGTGTGATAGACTATACTGTAATCGCACATATTGCGCACTTCTAATTTAATTATACAACGTATAGATCCAAAAAAAGATGTATAATTTGCATAGATGAAACTTCGATACACAAGATGCAGTATCCAAAAGCGTTACTATAATTCAAGCTGGACTTCGGAAGACCGATTTGTTCCAAACTGCTTGCTGTTAAATATTAACGACTCTAACTTGGACTGCCTTGAAGGTACAAACGCAGAACTTTTTAAGAAGTGAAAAATTATATAATTTGTTGTCGTTGGCAGGTTATTTGGATAATTGCGATCAAAATACAAGACCATATACTTTGAGACAAAGTAAAACAGCCAACGCAAGTTTCTTTATTAATTACATTTCAATTTATTATATTAACTAGTTGTTTTTTTGTATAAGTGTCTTAAAAACACAGTAATCCCACATATCGCGTACTTGAAATTAATTAATCTTCAGGAAATTAAAACGTATAGATCCTAAAAAAGATGTATAATTTACCTAGATGAAACTTCGATATACAGGAAACAGTATCCAGGCGCGTCACTATAATTCAAGCTGGAAGAGGGATTTGTTATAAACTGCTTGCTGATAAATATTAGAGACTCTACCTTAAGAAGTGAAAATTTATCTAATTTACTGTGGTGGGCCGGTCATTTCTATAATTGCGATCAAAATCCAACTTTGAGACAAGGTAAAACAGCTAACGCAAGTTGCTTTTTTAATTACGTTTTCATTTATTATATTGCTTCTAACTTTGTTTTTAAATTTGGCCCATATTATTTTATCCTACGATTTGGTTCTTAAGACGTCAACTAGTTGTTTTTTGTACAAGTGTCATCAAAATAATGGTCAAGCTGACTAAATAAATCTCGCGTGTGAACTCTTACCGTGTGATGGGTTGTAATGTAATCGCACATATTGCGTACTTCTAATTTGAACTGAGGTGGCTTTTACTTGATGAAAATCCATTTAACAAAATAAATAAGAACTAAAAGTTCAGATTTTCACGCAATTATATATTTTCACATGACAATTGTTTCGACAACACGGTGTCTTTATCAAATCAGTGATCAAATGTTGTCGAAACAATTGTCATGTGAAAATATATAATTTCGTGAAAATCTGAACTTTTAGTTCTTATTTATTTTGTTACTTCTAATTTAATAATCTTCAGAAAATTACAACGTATAGATCCGAAAGGAGATGTATAATTTACCTAAATGAAACTTCGATATACACGAAGCAGTATCCAAACGCGTCACTATAATTCAAGTTGGATCTCTGAAGTTCCCAACTGCTTGTTGTAAAATATTAAAGACCTTAATTTGGACTATCCTGAAGGTACAAATGCAAAACTTTTTGAAAACTGATAAACAAGACCATAAACTTTGAGACAAATTATATCTGCAAGTTTCTTTCGAAAATGTTTGTTTCAATGATTCCGTCACTTCTTATACATTATAATGTACATAGAGTCTTCAAAGTTCCAAAAATTAATCACGCGGAATTCTGCTTGAAAAATAGATTTTAAATTTGAACCCAAGGTGGGTCAAATTTTGACAAAAATTACTTAATAAAACTAAAAATTAAATTACGAAAATTTGTTTCAGTATTTTCCATATTAATACATTTAGACTTTTTGGGTATTTTACAAGTCTCCGAAGTCTAACATCGATCGAAATTTACGGACAACGTTCGAAGAATTGGGGATACTGACCAGTCCGAACAATGTAACGGGGCATAGAATTGTCACCTGCATTTACTAGTTAAGAGAATCAATCAATCGAAATGGGTCGCGTTTGCTTAGACCTTGACGCGCAGCACCCTGCTTCGACGGTGCTATCGGTCGTGCACCTGAAGAATTTTAACAGTAGCGCCGCACCATGGAGGGGGCGAACGCACCTAGAATCTTATATAGCCGACTGCGATGCTTTTCCCGAGTTTAAACACTTCGAAATACGGATTTTAGAATTTATGTACCGCTCGAGCACACGCGCTAGAACACCATGCACGCGTGAAGAGGGGAAGAGGTTTCCCAGTTAATTTCAACCAAAAAAAAACAGTTTCGTTTTAGATTCCGTAGTGCTTTTTGTTATTGTTATTATTGTGATATTCGCTTTCCTACCATGACGTCCGGTGTTAAACAAACTGTTATCAAGTAAGTCTCAGATGATTGTTTAAAAGATACGATTCCTACGTTTGACGTGATAATTAATTAAATATATGGCAAAATCTCAAAAATGTTGAATAAGTAATAATAAATAACGATTTAAATTGCGAAAACGGAGGTAGCGCCATATGGAAGTAGATGTAAGCTAATTATTTTAAATAACTTATTTGGTATTCGTGTTTCCCTTAAGGCATCAGCTTTATAAACTGATCTACCAATGAAAAATAAAAAAATATTTGCATTATGCCTTGCAATTCTTTTGTTTTGTTTTGATACTCAATTCTTAGCCTCATCCATTTTGCATTACTTATCCAAAAACAAGAATAAAACATAAAAAGCAACATAAACAAATTTAATCCCCAGAATGTTATTTCAATTGGTGTAGAACTTCGGTTGTTTCGGTTGTTTTGTTTGGAATACGTAAAAATGATGCGGCATTGCAATGATATTGTTTTGTAAACGAATATAGTGAATGAAATTTGACAAAATAAAGTCTTATCAAAGTACAATGAGCGTTAAGTAGGGTTCGCTGTGCCCAATATCGTTTTTCACAAAGTTTCGAAAAATAAGCAGGCAGCAAAAAAAAACTAATGCGAAGAAACGTAGATTTCATGCAAAGTTGGACGTAATTAGGTTTCTTGAATCGCGCTGTTTGCTAAAAGGTGTGAAAACGTTCAGCAGTAATGTAAAATACAAACATACACGTACATTCGAAAATTGTAAACTGGACGTGACACTCAATTTAGTATTTCCTGCTAAAAAAATTTGAGTGTCGATGAATTGACGCACAAATGGTGAAAAAATGCTACATACTTGTATTTGTAAAACATTAACTAGAAAAACTGGAATTAGAGTTCCTTCTTTTTTGTGAGTTGTGCAAAGTTGTAATTTTTCAATTATTTTAGAATAGCGGATGCGATTGGATAATGGATAATATAAAGCAAAACAGCCAACTGTAGCTTACGTTTTACTTACTCTGTATAAACAGAAGATAATTTTTTAACTTTTTTTTCATTTTTATTTCTGCTTGTTTTTATATATGTTATGCATTACGTTGTTATACCTATTATTATTGTAGACGTTATCTAATTTTTTCTAATCGTATGTATATATATATATATATATATATATATATATATATATATATATATATATATATATATATATATATATATATATATATATATATATATATATATATATATATATATATATATATATATATATATATATATATATATATATATATACGTATTTTCTTTCCTCTATTGCACTTAGAGATGCTGTAATTCGTTTGTTATTTATGTATATCAACTGCTATGCAAATAATTGTTCACATATATGTAAATTATCATACCAATAAATTTGCAGCTGCTGAAGATAAAATCAGCTTTTATAAGATGTTGCAAAATTTGTCAACCATACCCATTTTTCGGTTGGATATTTTCAATATGTATCTTTTTCAGTTTTTCCTGTTAATGAAATAAAACTATATGAAAACCTGTTTTTCACAAATGGCAATTGGTTTAATAAATATACACCACAATTATATAAGCTCTCTTAAGTTTAGTTTCAAAAAGAGATAAAATTTTTTGACTAACAATTGTCAAATTTTTGAAAACATTTGGTATTTAAAAATTTAGTGTTCATTTCGAGTGTTCAGCAGCAGTAAATAGCGGTAATCACTTTCTTATTAAATATTAGCCAAATTCTATCTATTATTTTTTTAATAGGCAAAGATGAGGACAATGGTGATTGTAAAATAAAATTCTATACGAAATAAGCCAAATCAAAAATATGCTTTTTAAGTTTCACGCTTTGATTCACCTAAGTGTCACTCCAGATTTGCGTGTGACGTATTGCCGGTAGATTCCAAGAAGAATATTTAATCCAGATGAGTCAGTTCAAATTGCAGTCTCAGTTTGTTAGAATACAATGGCATATTTTTTGCTTCATTATTGATTTTTTGTGTTGATGGTTACTACTTGTAACCCCCACGCTATATAGTAAAGATGATTGTATGTAGATACTGAGATCGAAGTGTAGATTACAATTGAAGTGATGACGATATAATGGTATTGTTGTTGACTGTGACGTATTGGAAACACTTCATAGATTATTTTAGAAAATGCTGTAAAATTCTTAGAGACAGAGAGAGTGAATATTTTAAAAACTTCTTTAAAAATTATTCCTTCCTTGATTGCTATTCTCAAATGTTAAAATCGAAACGTTAATTTTCCACAGTGCAGAATTCCGCGAATTTTCTAGCCTCAAATCTCTAATCAAAACAACTAAAAAAATATCACGATTCTGCTATTTATCATAAAACTTGATGGGTTAGTTGTTAAGCGGCGATTGCTAATACTGGTACAGATCAATTTAAAATACCAGGCTTAATTTATTTATGTTATTGTTCAACATATACGGTTTGAGCTTTTTGTAAAAGGAGTTAAATAAACGCTGGTGAATCGTTAATTGTGACGGCTATTTTTGTCCATCGAACGTTAAACAACTTCTCTTGACCATGACCTCTTCGATCTGTCAGTCACGAAAAGTAATTGTTACTGCCACTTCCTCAATCAAAAATTTGGAGAACTCTTGAACATCCACTTGTATTTTTTTTGTGTGAATTGAAAGTACAAGTCAGGTTTAATTAAGTTTATATAATCATAAATCTCTAAATCTGACAGTCATGTTTAAGAAACTAATTAATCACCTGAAAGGTGTTTTGATGTAGTAAAAACAACAATAAGTAGGGAAAGTGGAATATGATAAATATTATTAATGAATTTCGTTTTTATAGGAAATTCGCGTTATTTTAGTTTACAGAAAGACTTTCACGATATTCGACGGCGCTCAATACATTAGGAGAAGAAGAAAAAACGTACGAGTTTCAAGATCGCATGTTACATTCATATTAACAATAACGGTTTTAAAAAGAAAGTAACGCAATTTGATAGTCCCGTAATGATTCCTTACAGTTTCTGGTTTCACTTTTGCGGTGACATATGTCGAAGAAAATTGCTCTTTATGTTTATGGTAACTTTTACTTGGAGTTTGCAGATGTATGACAACAAAATACAATATTGTATCAGAATAGTGTGTTCCTGACTGTTTCTTACTTTTATTACAAATTAGGTAGCAACCAACAACGTAAATATAAGTAGTTGCTCGCTTGGGACAATGTATCTATATGCGCCAGTCAACTCTATGCAAACTGCAATCGTCTATAGAATCAAGTATCGATTTTGGCAAGGAAATTTTATTTAGAGGAAGAATGGTAGTAGTGGACATTAATGTCTTCGTTAAACACGTTAATACTAATACCAGGTAATTCGAATAAGAGATTCTTACAATAAATAGAACAAGAGGTACTTTGTCAATTTATTTGCTTTATTTTTTATTTTATCTTTCTGTATACTAATTGATTTGATTATTTTTACTAAAAGTTTCATGCTTGTGTTCATTAATAAAAAAAATTAATGGTTAGTTCTTGTACACCATATTGTTTCAGTATTGTGCACAATTTATCTTGACAACATTTTAATTGGCTGTAACTTTTTTGTTTTTAGAGATATCAAGCCAAGTTTTTTCCTAAGTGACGTGTAAAACAAAACACCATCAATCTTTTGACATATTTTACAACATATTTTTTTTAAAAAACACTGAATGAAAATATGTTTATGTTAGACATATTAGTCATTATTGTTAAAATGGTTTTTCGCGAATTTAGCATCAGTGAAAGGAGTGATATGCTTCAAGTGTACTTTCTGAATAATAAAAGTATATTAGACACTATCCAGAGCGCCAAGCTCCTTTACAACAGATATTTCCAGGGCTGCAAAGAAATTTGCAGAATACGGTAACGTATTAAATGCTAAAAAGGTATGCCGGAATGATAATGTTTTAAATGAAGAAAATAAGGCAAACATTTTAGGATTCTACGAAGCACATCCAGTTTCCTCTATTACTCAGTTTTGAAAGAATATAAAAATAATGCATTTAAATTTCATAAAACTCAAAAACTAAGTGGAGAACAATGTGAAACTAGGATGCAGCTTTTTGGATTTTTTATAATAATAATTTTTTGAAAAACATTTTATGGACTGACGAAGGTTCGTTCACTACAAGAAAGGGTTGTAATATACAAAATACGCGATGTTGGTCTTTAAATATTCCTACACAAATACAAGAAACAAAAACCCAGGGGTACCAATCAATTAATGTATGGTGTGGTGTCATAGATGGGCATATTTTGGTTCCGATATTTATAGATCAAAGGTTAACTGCAGATCATTATTTGCAATTCTTAGAGCACCGAATAGAACAATAAATAGTAGATTTACATCTAAATATATTAGCGCTGATTATGTGGCAGCAAGACGGTGCCCCTTCTCATAATGTTGTGCAAGTGAAAATTTTTCTTAACATGGAATACCCCGGGGGTTGGATAAGGAACGGCGGAGCTACGGATTGGCCAGCCAACAGGCCGAACTTAATTTTAATGGATTTTTATTTTGAGGACACATGAAAAATTACGTGCACCAAACTCCTGGTAATAATGTCGTGGAATTTCGGCAAAGGATTTCAGAGGCAATCAATAAGTCAAGAGACAAACCGGAAACGTTACAAAATGTAACGTACAATAAAAGTGTATGAGAAATGTGCTCAGCAGGTGGTCACATACAGCAGTATTTAGCATAGTTAAAGAATTTTTTACTTCAGTGTGTCTTGTCATTTTCGTGTTTTTGTTCTACTTTAATTTATAAATAATTATTGTTATTGCAGTGAGTTCCGGCACTCCTTGAAATTATATAAAAATTTCCTATTTTTGCCGATTTGTCAAAAACGAGTGGACTAAAATATAAAGTGTGTAACACCATGTGAATTGAAATGAGATATTCTATTAAACACATATATAATATACAGAGCGTTCCATTAACAAAAATATATGTGTATGAAAATTGATTGATTGATATTGCTTAAAT